TCTATACAGTACATTAGTAAAGAGTGACGTCGTCACTTAACACAATCTAATATCTTCAATATCACTTTTCCAATAAATCAAGCTGCTAAATCGCAATTTGATGTTAAATGCAGATAATGTAATATTTTTCATGAAATGTGACCATGTATAAAATCTCGTCTGAAAATTGTGTATTGCAGCACAACTGGCATGATTCGTCATTTGCGTAGCTGTCATCCCACTGAATACCAAACACTACAAGCAGCGAAACAGAATAACATAATCACGAAAGAAGGTTGCAGTCTATTTTGCAGTACAAAATTTACAAAACAAATGAACTTTTTTAATCAACTAAATCGCATTGCATTTACAGTAAACGGGAGCTTAAATTGCACACATCATGACAGTGCAGCACTGATGTCTAAACCAAGTGATTTGACAAGTCATTCTATTGAAAACATAATCACAACTACATTTAATATTAAGGTTAGTCAAAGTGTTTTGAAAGCAAATTGATAGTAAGTAGTAGTGAAATAGTGAAATCAATCTGCTTTTTATGTCAAATCTAGTCATTAACTTTCAGCATAAAGATGTAAGGAATGTTACCAGCTATTTGTATGGATATGCCAATATTGGTCCTCAACAGAAAAAAGCAAAATTTGATGAATGTTGCAAGGCAGTCGATTTACGAATGCCGACAACTAATAAGACAAATCAGAAGGAACTAGATGAAAAAACAAGAGGAGTGAGGGAAAATTTTTGGCCTGACGATCATCCGGATGCACGCAGAATTACGGATCAGGTTTCTTTTTGGGTTTTAAATCTGGTATTAAGATCTAGATTTTTAAGCAGTGTTTTATATGTAGAAATTTTAATTAAAGCTTTTATTTTCTCTGAAAGTTATATCATCAGTGGTTTTAGATTTTAAAGCTTGTTAGGATAATATAACATAGATATGAGTTCATCTACCAAGTTAAATAATTATTTTTTCCTCTGCAATACGCATAACTAGTCTCAGAAGCTATTCCATCCGTTTAAAATTGTTCTCAATTAAAGGTTTTTATATGTACCATTGCACTGAAACTTTTTCTAAATACTTGAATTCTGATTATTACTAAATACCAAATTTTCGCCCATTGTTTTATTTAAATTTTTGATTTTTGAATTGTAACTAGTTAAAGATTATACTTATGCATTATCGAATCAGTGAGTGCAAGAAAAAAAATATAGAAATTGCAACTCATTTTCCAAAATATTAACAGTGAATATTAGGAATGTGGTGTCAGAAAGTATTAAATTGAGTTGTATCTCCCACATTCCTTTGTCACTGATATATTTAAATTGTTATGTGTATTAAAGTTTTGAGAATTAAGATGCAAATATTTATGAAAAACTTGTAATAAACTTTTCTGAATAACTTGCATTTGGTTGATTGATTTTTTATTGTTTAATATAATAAATTTTTAGATTGGAGTGATGATGATTCTGGATAATCAGTCCCCTGTTACCATTAATCGTATTGGTTTTCGAAATTTACTCCGTCTTCTTCAACCTAAATATCGTCTTCCGTCAGTCGAGTTTTTCCATAAATTAATTTTGCCTAGATTGATGAATCAGCTGAAGTATAGTGTCACTTCACAACTAAGTGATCTTGGCAATCAGTAAGTTTCTGCATACTATTCTACGCCTAAAAAATTAAGAAAATCGAGTTTTTGCGAGGGTATTTGAAGGTTAGTAAGAAATGAATTTAATTCATTCCCTATCAAACATTATATACTTGGGAAGTAAAATGATTTAGACAAAATGATTTAAATGGACGACTGAATGCTTTGGCTCCCATGATAGCAAAGGAATATGATTCAGGAAATTCGTTTTTGAGTGCTTACAGTCATGAAATTACTGCTTTTAGTACTGCTTGCAGCGAACAGGTGTGTTAACTGAATGTTGTTAATAATGTATGAAAATAATTAATATTGCTTATCGGTTTTATTGTTTTTGATTCCTGCAAATCTAAAGCATTCGTTCTAATATCCATGTTTGACTGAAAAAAATTTTTTATGAAAATGGTAGCATTTTCATTTCATGTCCCTCCTTATGACAGTCTTGAGCTTGTTTTCAATTAAATATTTTAAGTATGTTTCCGCTAATTTTAGAATGACTTTGATCGTGTTGTTATTAATTCAATTCGATCAGCACAGAACATATCTCAAAGTTTCTCGCACTGTATTCAATTGAATAACGAAGAATCTGATTTGAATGCAAAGTCAGAAAATTCTTTATCTGATCGCATCGACTCTTTCATAAAACGTATTGGAGAATGCATTTTTCCTCAAGTAAGATTGACCAAAGCAAGACAAATTTTACTATTGAATTTGTGCAATTTTTGGTTTTCAAACTGCGAGATCTTTTTCTGTACTTGCAGGTGGAGTTAACTGATCTTTTGACTCGGTGCTATCATGCTTGTCGGCATTTAGAGGAGTCTTCAAATAAAGGAGTGCAACCACTGGCAGAACTGTATCTTCAGCTACCAATTAGAAGTCTAGAATTAGCAGATTGTGTCAAGTATGTTCAAAAAAATTTGGAACGAATTCATGAAGAACATAAACGCTCTCCTATTCCAATGTTCAAACCTTTCAGCGATCACGAGACTCAGTTTTTGTCTGATCTCAACGAGCACATTCATTCAGTTTATATCTGTCTGTAGCTTTAATATTTTTAGTTTCGAAAAATCTGTTGATGAAAATTGCTTGGAAAAACAAGTTATTGAAATCGTAAAGTTGAGTGTTGCTTGCTTAAATTTCATTCTTTTACTTGCATCTCATCTTTTAATATCTTTTCTTATGTCATCATTCTTTAAGTATATTAAGGAATGGTCTTAGATTTTTGTATCTTCTACGGTGTCTCTTCACATTTATACGGTGGTGGGAAAGATCTTTTTCTGTTATATAATTCGTTTACCTCATATAGGTAGTTTGTAACTTGATTGGCGCTATTATTCTTTATTGTAGTTATCTATCTGTTTAATGGATTATGCTTTGTAATGTTGGATGTTTCGTTTCACCATTTTCATTTTATGCAGCTCATAATTTCTACAACTAAAGTTAGTAACTTCTCAATGATATTTGCTTTATGGATTCGACAAAGAATCAAACTGAATATATATCTTTTTCACTGATTTATGTATTTTATTACGTCAGTTTTGTTTTTATAAAAGCAGTGATTATTTGACGTTTGAAGAATATGTATAAGTTTGGGTTATAGGTAAGTAACTGCGGATTAAAGTATATTATTTTTGTAATTTTTTGTGTTGTTTTAGTTTATCCCGTTAGTTCTTCTTTACGTTTCATTCTCTTTATTTACCTTATT